ATAAAAAGAGGTGGAAATCAACAGACACCCCATGTTACGATATTATAACAATAGTACTGCAATAACATATATTGCATATATTGCTGTAGATTATGTCTCAGACAGGCAGAGTTTCAGACCCAAAGTGCATACATGCAGGCAGGACTGAACTTAGTTTTATTGTTGGATCTACTGAGAAATAAAAAACCAGGGAGGCTAACTGACAAAAACTAAACAGACATAGCAGTACAGCGATTTACCACACAGACAGGGCACACATCAAGAGAGAGATCACAATGATTGACAGAGTAAAACACAAATAATATATACAAAAGGGGAAATCACAGCAAAGAGGAGAGACCTGGGGAACACAGCAGGTCATAATCTAACAGACGAGAAGGGGGAAGCAAAACTGAACACACTGAACATGGGACAAGAGACTGTCAAAATAAAACAAGAAACACACCAAGATGCAGACTAAGACATGGGGCTTGACACAGGGCCGTGATGAAGGAACACACACAGGAACAAGAGAGACTCGGCAAACATGAATACAAAATAACTCAAAATATTAGAGGAGCAGAACTCAACCCTAAAACATACTAATAAAGCAAAGCGTCATAAACCTAAAGGAAAACTCAAAAAGCTGTGTCACAAACCCCGAACCATGACACAGTCTGGAATTTTGAAAAACTTCGGCTTATTCAAAGTCATCTTCTCTGGCCATGGTTCTGAACACTTACACTGTGCGCTCAACAGTTTCACCCACCTCTCAAAACTCCACAGTTAACATCAACGTCCCTCAAACTGACCGTAGTTTTCAAGGAGATGAGATACCCACTCATGCAGCTGCGCATCACGTGAATGCTGAAAAAATACAGAGCACAGGCTGCCAGAGCAGCAGTACTGTGCATCATTACCTGCTGACTTTCTTCATAGCAGAGCTGTCTGGTTCCCTTTATTTGCTGTATCAGTTTCTCTTTGTGTTTCTCTAATTTAACTAGGGTCTCCTCCAGCTCTTTGCGGTCTGACCTCTGCTCCTGAAGTTCCAAGTTTTCCACTGCCACTGCGCTCTCCAGCTCCTACATCACACACAAAGACACAGTTAAAATCTGCAGAACGATATAAATGCTGGGATGATGAAACATTCACACACACAAAGTGCAGGTGAAAAAACAAAATTACGAAAATACACCAGCCCAAGTTAGTGTACAGAGCTTTTCCCTTTGCTTGGTTGGTTTTTGTTCTGGCACCAGAAATGTTACCTGCGTGTGAACACACTTCCCCTTTTTTAAAGTTCATAGAGAAGTCACCAAAATCTGAACATTTCAAGGACCAGGACGTTTGGCAATCCAGACTTGCGCTGAACACGTGTGTGTTTACAGCTTCATGTTTGTGAGACTAGTCCTACAGCATCATGACATCACATGAGAGCATCATGGGAAATGCAGTGATGGAAGGGTCCCAAACTGGAAACCTTACAGCCACACACATGCATAAAAAGGATATAGGTACTGTCCAAATGATCTCACAAATAACAGAAAACGTGATTTCGACAAAAAACACAGACACACACAGACACACAGATTCAAACACACACACCAGTGCTAGGTGCTGTGGTCTTCTTACTCTGATCTCGGCCGTCTTGGCAAGGATTCTCTCATCAGTCTCCATGATGTCGGCGTCCCTGGGAGATGACCAGCAAAGTAGACAGGAATGTTTAAGGAGGGATGAGAGAGAGCATTCGTTCTTCCAGTCTGCTTTTCCTTCATCATGCCCTCCTTCCCACGATCCCTCTATTTTTTCCTGCTGCACTGCTGGCTCCTCCATTGCTGCCCCTCTCTAGCTGTCGCTACACTGCAGAGGAGGCGGAGCTCCCTCTGTTAACGTGTCAGCGTCTGCACGCACGTGTGTGTGTGTGCTGGAAAATGCACACAGGCAGACTGCACCAGCGTGGAAGATGAGTCAGACCAGAGAAGGGTAGAGCCGACTTATGCATCAATGGAAGAACGCCCGCTCCTGTACAAGTCTCCATCCTTCATGTTTTCCTCCTCCTCAGTTTCCTGCCATAGCACTGTTTCCTTCATATCCTTCTCTATACTCTCCCCCTCTCCATCACCACTGGCCTCTGCAGTATGATCAGTTCATACACAACACACAGTGTGTGTGTGTGTGTGTGTGTGTGTGTGTGTGTGTGTGTGTGTGTGTGTGTGTGTGTGTGTGAGAGAGAGAGAGAGAGAGAGAGAGCAAAGCAGCAGCAGTCTGCACAGCCAATCAATATCAATCAATATTCATACTGCCCTACTTCATTAGCCAGCCGCACTGGTGTTTTCATCAAATAGTTTTCAAGAGCACAAATACAACCATGCAAGCAAAAGCAATGATCTTGGGTGAAGGGGTACTCTGAGAATAGGTGCATTGCCATTTTGTAGGTACTACTCAGATCATCAGCTACCTCTCATGTAATTCTGTGTAGTTACTCCTGAACAGCTAAAGTTTCAATAGGATGATGGCTTTATCTCCCACATAGTTTGTGCACTTAATCAAAATAGAGCTAGAACGAAGCACTGCAATGTGCTACCAAAGTCAAAATGCAAAATTGTTCAGGTATGTACAGTTTGGATGCTGCTCCTCTACAAGCAGTTACAGGTAGAGTAAAACAGTTCATCAGCCAATAAAATGTCCCCCTATTTGGAGTAAATAACTTTACTTTGTGTGGTTAGCATGTTCTGGGATTAGGTTAACCTGGAACTCCTTTTCTCTCAGGTCAAGCTAAGATTTAGTAACTGATTTGTGCTTTTTTGATTACTTTGAATCACCCGTGTTGCCGTCTGACCAGAATGAAAATAGCAGCCATTTCTGCAGAAAACAGCACATGCAGAGAAATAATGAGGCGATAACAGAAAGGAGATAGGACCAGATCAGAGACACAGATGGAGGAGGGGAGATAAAGCCACAGGACAGTACTCTCACTGTTACCATCAGAGGCTTGCAGATGGTTCAGGCAGAAACCGAGAAGTGCACGGGAAAAAGCAGAGGTGCTTTTATTAACAACAGATAGTGTTGTTGTAATAGTTCAGCATCTTTAAAAAGAAGAAAAATGTAGCAATGGGTTTTGGTCATTCCTTATAAAACCTGTTACAAATTACAGTTAAAGAATCTTAACCATGCTTAATTGGACTCATTTCTCAAAGATCGTGCAACTAAAAGGCATCTGTAATTTGATACTGTAAAGTCCCATTTTTGGGGATCAAAACAGTTCTCAGTGTGGCTTTTCATTGAACAGCCACTACCATTGCTCTAAACTTTGTCCAGCACTTGAAGTGCTTCCTGATTTGATTCCTTTTCTTATATATTGCAATATCTGGGGCTTGTTTGTGTTCCTTATTTTCCCCCTCAGTCTCTG